AATAAAAAATTGGCTGGACATATTGGTGCTTGCCTATAGTCCCAGCCACTTGTGAGGCAGAGACAGTAGGATTGCTTGAGCCCAGGAGTTTGAGGCTGCAGTGAGCTAGGATCATACCACTACACTTCAGGATGGGTGACGAAGACCCTTTTTTTTTTTTTTTTGAGACAGTCTTGCTCTGTCGCCCAGGCTGGAGTGCAGTGGCACAATCTTGGCTCGCTACAACCTTTGCCTCCCAGGTTCAAGTGATTCTCCTGCCTCAGCCTCTCGAGTAGCTGGGATTACAGGCACCCACCATCATGCCTGGCTAATTTTTGTATTTTTGTAGAGACAGGGTTTCACCACGTTGGCCAGGCTGGTCTTGAACTCCTGACCTCAGGTGATCCACTGGCCTCGGCCTCCCAAAGTGCTGGGATTACAGGCTTGAGCCACCACGCCCGGCTGATGAGGACCCTGTTTCTAAGAAAAAAAGAGGCCCTGGAATATTAGTTGTGGTAGATTTCATGAGCAACAGAAATCTGTCCAATCCAAAATCACCCTTGTAGTATCCCTATGTCTTTGGTCCTAGAGAACATGAGCTTGTTATGCATCTCTAGTTTTGTTCTTAGAACCTTCTACTATTACTGACTGCTATAGGATTGTCTGCAATGCTGAGTCCTTAAACCTCAGAGGGGCAAGGCCAGGAAGCTTTGTTTCATATTAAAGTCTAAGGACAAAAGCTTCTCAAGGGAGTCTGAGGTAGGTAGCCCTTCTGTCAAGTTAGAGCAGATAGAACAGGATACACTTACTTTGAGTTCCTTCATTTACATGTTTGTTAGATAGTGTTTGTGGCCACAGGAGAACTACTAGTCACCTAGTAGGATTCCATGGGAAGATAATCTTTTAGTAATATACATGAAACCATTAAAGCAAAATTTTGGCCTCTCTGTTGTCCATTATTGTCTCTGAATTATTGAAGCCCAAGTTGGGCTGTGTTTAGCATGGTTAAAGGAGAAAGTTTCAAGATGATCCTTGGTAATCCTTTGGAAGTTAAAAGGATCAAAGACCTAGATATATCTAAAGATAGTCGTCCCTAGCACCTTTGGCCGTAGTTTGGGTCATTTCAGAGTGGCTGGTGCTACTCTGGGTCTGTGGTTTGGAATTAGGTTGAGGAGCCTGAGCAACAGGCAGTGTGGGGTGCTGGGAAAAAATTGGTCAGAGGTCAGTAGACAGGTTTGGATTCCAATGATAGCAGTCTCAGACTTAATCATGGAACTCAGGTTCCTTTTATGTAAGTCCTCCTTCTGGAATCTGCCATCAGGAGTAAGCTTCAAAATTAACTCCAAATAGCTGAAAATGTTGAAACGTTACTTAATATTGACTTTTGGATGTTGGAAATGCCTGCAAAAACGACAGTTTTCATTTTTATGTAACTAATGCTGAACTAACTTTGTTAATAAAATAGTTGAAAATATAGTCTTGGGTGACTTGTCAGCACACATAATATTTAAGATTTCAAGATAACTGGAGTCTTAAAACTCCCATCCCCCCATCTCTGTTCCCAGACTTGCCAGAGTTGCACCATGGTTGCTTGAGAATGGTCTGTTTGGAATTCCATAGCATTGTTTATCATAACTCCTTTGCTTGCCAACACCCTCACAATATAGTCAGGGAAAAACAGGAACCCAGACTTTTGTTGTAAGTACTTGTAAGTCATTGCTGAGCTGCCTGTGTAGATAATTGTTTATGCTCTTATCCTTTTATGCTCTAATCCTTTTATCATAGCCTGTTCATCTAATTGGTGGTGTCATCTAATTGCTGATGTTTTAACCCAACCAGGCATAACTATATATCCTTATATCTTGTTTGCTAGCCAGTTTCTTTTTTTATATTTTAAATTTTTTTTTAATTTTTAATTTTTGTGGGTACATAAGTAGGTGTATGTATTTATGAGTTACATGAGAGATCTTGATACAGGTATGCAATGTGTAATAATCACATCAGGGTAAGTGGGAGTATATATCACTCCAAGCATTTATCCTTTGTTACGAACAATCCAATTATGTAGTTATTTTATTTTTATTATTTATTTTTTTTAGACAGAGTTTCACTCTGTCACCCAGGCTGGAGTGCAGTGGTATGATCTTGGCTCACTGCAACCTCCACTTCCTGGGTTCAGGCGATTCTCTTGCCTCAGCCTCCTGAGTAACTGGGATAACAGGTGCCCACTACCACACCTGGCTAATGTTTTTTGCATTTTTTCAGTAGAGACAGGGTTTCACCATGTTGGCCAGAGTGGTCTTGAACTCCTGACCTCAAGTGATCCATCCGCCTCGGCTTCCCAAAATGCTGGGATTACAGGTGTGAGCCACCACACCTGACCAAGTTATTTTAGAATGTACAATTATTTTTTACTATAGTCACCTTGTTGTGCTAGCAACCTAGGTCTTATTCATTCTTTCTAACATTTTTGTACCCCTTAACCATCGACATTCCCCCCCCCCCCACCTACTACCCTTCCTAGCCTCTGGTAACCATCCTTCTACTCTCTATCTCCATAAGTTCAATTGGTTTAATTTTTAGCTCCTACAAATAAGTGAGAACATCGAATTTTGTCTATGTCTTGCTAGCTAGTTTCGTTCTGTATTGGTGACACCTGTGACAAATAATCACCTTTATTTTGTAAATACCAGGAATAAAGGTCAGTAGGTAATTACTAATTGTCTATGGCAGTGGTTCTCAGATTTTGGTGTACATCAGAATCACCTGGAGGACTTGTTAAAAACGCATATTCCTGTTCCCTGTTCCCAGTTGCTGATTCAGTGTATCTGAGATGGGACTGGTAACTTGCATTTCTAATGAGTTCCCAGGAGTTGCTCATGCTGCTTCTGCTATGGGACCACACTTTGAGAAGCACTGGTCTACTCTGAGGCAGGTACTGTGTGTGGAAGAAAGTGGTCTAGGATGTGGTGTCTGGCCTTGAAGAGCCTGCTTTTGAGTTGCGATCTGTACTTATATGAAGGTAGACCTAAGTTTGAAGCTCTGTAGGCTGGTGCCAAATGAGCCTAAGAAGTTCAGATCAGGAGGTAATCTTTAGTAGCTGAAAAGCCAGGAAGCTATTACAGAACTGTTGTGGGTATTTGAGCCGGGCACTTAAAGATCACGGAATGGCACATTCTCAGAAGGAAAACAGTTTAATACAGATATGGAGATAGAAGTGTCACTGGCAGTTTCAGTGGGTAGCTTGTCACTTTGAGTTGGTGGGTATTGGATGGTGGTAATGAGAAATAAGGTTTGGAAAATTGTTGGGCTCAGATTGTGTTGGACGTTGAATACTTTTGGACTTCATTTGGTAGCCGTGATTAGCCATTGACTAGGCCCTGTTGAGGACTGGCGGTGGAGGGGTGTGGGAAGAGAATGTACCAGAAGGAGAAAACCAGTTCTTAACTTTGTTGTTGCAATCTTCGGCTCCCAGACCTCAGGGGTTTTTGCAGGGGTTGGGGGAATTGGTTCTAAACAGAGAAAAACCTGTTAACTAGTGGAAACCATTATGTGATTACCAATGGTTTACTGAATCTTGACAAGATTAACTGTGATTATTATTTTAAATCCCTGGGGCAAAAATGGGTGGGGCATGAATTGGTTCTAAGATGCAAAATTTGAAAGTGTTGTTTGGGTGCGACTAATGAGAACTTCTGTAGTCGGACACCTTATTTGGGAAGATAAGATTATTTGGGTTTCGGCCGGGCGCGGTGGCTCAAGCCTGAAATCCCAGCACTTTGGGAGGCCGAGACGGGCGGATCACGAGGTCAGGAGTTCGAGACCATCCTGGCTAACACGGTGAAACCCCGTCTCTACTAAAAAATACAAAAAGCTAGCCGGGCGAGGTGGCTGGTGCCTGTAGTCCCAGCTACTCGGGAGGCTGAGGCAGGAGAGTGGCGTAAACCCGGGAGGCGGAGCTTGCAGTGAGCTGAGATCCGGCCACTGCACTCCAGCTCGGGCAACAGAGCAAAACTCCGTCTCAAAAAAAAAAAAAAGAAAAGAAAAGAAAAAAATAAAAGATTATTTGGGTTTCCAGCTTAAGGTTTTTAGCAGGGAGGGATCTTTTTTGAACAATTTTTTTTCTATTGGGAAAAAACTAACAGTGTAACAAAATAAAACTAACAATGTAGCAGCAAGCATTTTGTGTTTTGGCCAAGTCTCTATTTTAAAACATTGTATCATGAAGATAATTCAAATGGATTTTGAGATGTGGAAATAGAACACATCTCTAGAAACACAATACCTTTAGCAGAATATGATGTTGCTTTTTTTGTTCTTATTGTTGGAGACCGAGTCTTGCTCTGTTGCCCAGGCTGGAGTACAATGGCAGGATCTGGGCTCATCGCAACCTTTGCCTCACAGGTTCAAATGAATCTCCTGCCTTAGCCTCCCAAGTAGCTGGGATTACAGGCACCTGCCACTAAGTGCGGCTAATTTTTTGTATTTTTAGTACAGACAGGTTTCACTATGTTGGCCAGGCTGGTCTTGAACTCCTGACCTCGTGATCCGCCTGCCTCAGCCTCCCAAAGTGCTGGGATTACAGGTGTGAGCCGTGATTTCCTTTTGAAACTTAAGAGCTATTACTGCTCCCGATCCCAGAACATAAAGATTAAATTATAAAAGTGAAAAATTCACCAAGGAGTAAGTCTGCATTTTCCTCACATTCTTAATTGTTTTACTGCTCTTTGTTCTTCACTTAAATTTAGTGCAATTTTTTTTATTTTAATGAAGCATCTAAAAGTGAGTTTATTTTTTTGATGGATTTTAATTTAGGTAGGTAGAAAACTGTGTAATCTTAATTAAGAAATGAAGACAAGCATACTGTTATCTTGGACATAAGTAAGACTGAATATGATACTTAAACAGTTTTAAATGCCTATGAGATTAATGTAGTTGGAGATCCCTTATGTTTATACTTTGAAAAGTTACCACTTTCATGAAATTGTGAGTTAAAATCATGATATCTTCTTGAATTTTAGGTACTTACACTGTGAAATTTTATGATGGAGTAGTTCAGACTGTCAAACATATTCATGTCAAAGCTTTTTCCAAAGATCAGGTGAGAAATGTGGTTTTGTGCTTTGTGTTATGAATAATGATAACATTGTAGTTTTGTTTCCTCAAATAAATGATGGCAAGTGTTTATTTCCTCCATCTGACACAATTTCACCAGAAAATAATACACAAGTTTTCAGAAGTTGTAAATATTTGTCTCTTTGCTGTTTCCTATTTATTTATTTAGAGACAGAGTCCCGTTCTGTCACCCAGGCTGGAGTACAATGGTGCAATCTTGGTTCACTGCAACCTCCACCTCCTCGGTTCAAGCAAATCTCCTGTCTCAACCTCCTGAGTTGCTGGAATGATAGGCGCATGCCACCATGCCACCATGCCTGGCTAATTTTTTTTGTATTTTTAGTAGAGACGGGGTTTCACCATATTGGTCAGGCTGGTCTCGAACTCTTGACCTCAGGTGATCCACCCACCTCAGCCTCCCAAAGTGCTGGGATTACACATGTGAGCCACTGTATCCGGCCACTGTTTCCTTTTAACAGAGATTTTTTTTTCAAAAGTGCCAAATACTTGGATACCATTGCCTATATTCTGTTTTCGTCATCTTTTTTCAACAATGTCTAGTCATTCTTGTCTTCTTTCTGTGCCCTGCCCCGCACAAGAGCTGTTAGCCATCACAGGGAACTTATTGAATTGCTTGAGACCTCCAGTATGTTTTCTCTCCATCTAGCTCTGTCTTTTAGCTTAGGACCATTACTTGGTTGTTTACAGAGCTATCATTTGGCACAGATTGGACAGCCACTTGTTCTAGATGTGCCTGGTTTGTGAATTTGGTATCCTGTCGTTCCAGTCACCATGCATGTATTTGCCTGAGCATGGGGCCTCAGTTTTGATACTGGAAATATGGTTTGCATAAATATGGGCCATCTAGAAGTGTTGCCTACTTTCTTCATGATTTTTCCCCTTTTGTCTTTTTTGTGTTTATGTATTAATAGTTGAGGGGAAAATAGAGATCAAAATTTGGATACTGGTATTTTTTAAAATCCTGATTATTACTAATTTCAGCTGTTGAGACAGCTAATTTAGCAATTTTGTAAAGGTTTTACCACTGAGGCATGGTAACTGGTTACTCATCTACTTGGATGACAGTTGATGTGACAATATTTGGTGATGCTATAACCTGTTGTGTTTTTGGTTTTTTTTTGAGACAGAGTCTTGTTCTGTCGCCCAGGCTGGAGTGCAGTGGTGCAATCTTGGCCTAGTGCAACTTCCCTGCCTCCCCAGTTCAAGTGATTCTGCTGCCTCAGCCTCCCAAATAACAGAGACTAGGTGCGTGCTACCATGCCCAGCTCATTTTTTGTATTTTAGTAGAGACAGGATTTCACCATGTTGTCCAGGCTGGTCTCCAACTCCTGAACTCAGGCAATCTGCCCCCCTCGGCCTCCCAAAAGGCTAGGATTACAGGCATGAGCCACTGTGCCTGGCCCTCTGTTGTGTCTTTGTGATGATGAAATGATTCTACTTATCACAGATTCTTAATGAATTCTTCTGTATGTATATTTGTAGGTTTTTTTTTTTTGAGACTGAGTCTCTCTCTGTCACCCAGGCTGGAGTGCAGTGACCTGATCTCCTCTCAGTGCAAACTCCGCCTCCCAAGTTAAAGTGATTCTCCAGTCTAAGCCTCCCAATTTGCTGGGATTACAGGCGTGTGCCCCCACACTTGGCTAATTTTTGTATTTTTAGTAGATGGGGTTTCACTGTGTTGGCCAGGCTGGTCCTGAACTCCTGACCTCAAGTGAGCTGCCCACCTTGGATTCCCAAAGTGCTGGGATTACAGACATGAGCCACCGTGCCCGGCCTAATCGTAAGTTTCTAAAGATTTTTTTTTTTGAGATGCAGTCTTACTCTGTCACCCAGGCTGGAGTACAGTGGTGCAATCTAGGCTCACTGTAACCTCCATCTCCCGGGTTCAAGCGATTCCCCTTCCTCAGCCTCCCGAGTAGCTGGGACTACAGGCATGCGCCACCATGCCCAGCTAATTTTTGTATTTTTAATAGAGACAGGGGTTTCACCATGTTGGCCAGGCTGGTCTTGAACTCCTCACCTCAGGCGATCTGCCTACCTTGGCCTCCCAAAGTGCTGAGATTACAGGGCATGAGCCACCATGCCTAGCTGCTTCAAAGGATTTTGATACATGATACCTTTGAGGTAACCTCAAAGGTTACCTTTTGCTGATTGGCCTTTTGCTGATTTTCTTCTTCAGAAAATTAACAACATTATTACATAAAGCTTTGGCCCTGATGATGCTTTTTCTTTGATCACTTGCCTCTCGTAAGGAGCCATATAGTAGTCTAAAACATTATTTTGGCCTTAAATTTGGCAATATTTGTGTTAGGTTTGTGGAACGAGTTAATACAGAGGATATAATTATAAACTTGTCCAGAATTGGCAGATTATATCCAGAACCTTCCCAAGTGGAAGTCCAGGGCTCCAGATAACAATTGTTCATCTCTTTACTCTGTGTTTCTCAATAAATTGATGGATAGCATTCACAGTGCTTTGGCTTGGAGGTGGTGCCTTACCCAGTGAGGATTTTTGGGTGCCATGCTTCATTTCTCATTTCCCAGTGGCCTCTGAGTGTCTGACCTTAGCCCAGTAGGCCCTTAAGCACAGGCCCGTGGCTCCTGGACTTGGCTTCTTTTCCAAGAGGGTACAGTGGTTTGGCTACAGTTATCTGTCATGGGCGATTTCAAAGGTTTTTTCATATACTATTAGAATACATGGAGATTTTTTTTTTTTTCTGTAGGACTGCACTGTCTTATAAATGTTTTGATAGTCTCTATATTAGCAACACTTATGTTTTTAGCTTACTGTAGAAAATTAGAAAAGTACAAAGCACAAAGAAAATAAAAACTCTATTATTCCATCAAACAGATATAATTGTTCTTAACGCTTTGGTGTATAACTTGGCTTAACAATTTGGTGTATATATCTTTCTGTGTTTTTTATTAAACATATATATGTGTGTGTATTTCTTTTCAAAATTGAAGTTGTGGTACATTAATATAGTACTGTTCTTTTCTTTTAACTAACATTTCCTCAAGTTCCTTAATATCCTGAGAATATGATTTTTCACAGCTATGTAGTGTTCTCTAATATGTATGGAACTGTACTTTGTGTAACCAAATCCCAAATGGTCATTAAGGATATTTGTCAATCCGGGTACACAAGTCTGATTATTCTTTTAGCTAACTTTATTTCTAGGGGTTTATTCTAGTTCAAAGGTATAACGTTTTTAGTTTTGACTCAAATTGCCAACTCCTCCCCGAGCCCCCAACAAGAAGGGCAATTTCAATTTATATTTCTGCTGGCCATTACCGGAATGCCTGTTCTCAAACCTGGCTACTTTCAGAATAATTTGGGGGACTTGAAAAAGTATTTCCTTGTTTATTATTTTTCCCTGTAGAACAAATTAAAGTTTTATTTGTTGAGTATTTAGGTACTGCTTCCTGCTTCCAGTGAAAACCTATGTGCCTAGTGTGTGCTAGGTGCTGGGGATCCCATATGAACATAGTATGGTGGTCTCTGGTCTTTTGAGGTCCTAGAAGAGAGATATGCACACAAATAAACTTAATTATAATTTTGGAATCTCCAGAGCTTTCAGACCTGGCATTATTATGAAACAGTCACAGTAGAGGACCTTCGATTTTTAGTGTGAATTTTAAAGAATGTAATGTAGGGAGAACGTAACTAAGAAGCAGTATTTCCTACCAATAGGCAAAAACTCCAAGTAGCTCAGGAACCTGGTAGGTGGTTTGTTGAACTGAGCACAGCCTTTACCTGGTAGAGGAAGCAGAGACCCTGGTTCTGGGTTGGATAATCTTTATAGTTTTCCTATTCAGCTTCCAGTTATCAGTTTTGTGTTTTCTCTAAACAAGACATCAGCACATGCTGGCAAACTGATCAGTTTTGTTATTTCTCTACACAAGACATCAGCACATGCTGGCAAACTGAACCAGGCCTCTGAAAAGCTCTGGGTTAGTATAGTCATGCAGGGGATAAGGACAGAGCATGAAGGCGTTTTCTTCGAACACCTTTGTCAGAAAGATTGCTTTCCAGAATTTTAAGGCCAGGCATGGTGGCTCTTGCCTACAATCCCAATACTTCAGGAGGCTGAGGCAGGAGGATTGCTTGTGCCCCGGAGTTTGAGACCAACCTGGGCAACATAGGGAGATCCTATTGCTACAAAAAATAACAATAAAAAACTTAGCTGGGCATGGTGAAACATGCCTGTGGTTCCAGCTACTCAGAAGGCTGAGATGGGAGGATCGCTTGGGCCTGGGAGGTCGAGGCTGCATGAGCCATGATTGTGCCACTGCACTCCAGCGTGGGCAACAGAGAGAGACTCTGTCTCAGAAACAAAAACAAACAAAAGCCCAGAATTTTATTTTCTAGTGACTTATTCGTCATAATAAGGGAGACTGCACTGTCTCCAGAATAATTGAATTGTTTTAAGGATTGGTTCTCAACTCTTAGTACAGGTGAATATTGTCAGTGGTGCTTTGTGTATGTGACCTGGCATATGTCCTGTTTTAATTTCTTTGTCTTCATACGTTTGTAAGAAATTCCTAATTTTGTATTTACAAGTAATCACGAAGTGTTTCATCGCTATTTTGCTCATTTTAGAATATTGTGGGTAATGCTAGGCCTAAAGAAACAGATCACAAAAGTCTTTCATCATCTCCTGATAAACGAGAGAAGTTTAAAGAACAGAGAAAAGCCACAGTGAATGTGAAGAAAGACAAAGAAGATAAACCCTTAAAGACAGAAAAGCGACCCAAGCAGCTTGATAAAGAAGGAAAGTTAATCTGTTCTGAAAAGGGGAAAGTATCAGAGAAAAGTCTTCCCAAGAACGAGAAGGAAGACAAGGAAAACATTTCAGAAAACGACAGGGAGTATTCTGGAGATGCCCAAGTGGATAAGAAACCTGAAAATGACATTGTGAAGAGTCCACAAGAAAACTTGAGGGAACCCAAAAGAAAACGAGGCAGACCCCCTTCCATAGCTCCTACTGGTGAGTTTTTCAAGTGGGCTCTGCAGTGGGCAATGCCAGAGTATTCTTCTGTGGCCCTTTGTGGTTCTTTGTAACTTGTATACTTCAATCCTTTGTTTTTGTGACTGATTTTGAGTTTTCTTATGATCTGGAAACAATTTGTGTTCATGAAGCTGAATTTAAGTGAGGCACATATCCAAGTTGGGAATCTAAGTTGGGAAGTGTGTTCGTAACTGAGCTTCCTAAAGTAGTGGTTAACTGTTGACTGGATACTTCAGCTTATATGATAAACCTGATAAACCAAGGCCTTTTGCTTGTGCTTTTTCAAATGATCTCAGTTTGAGTCAGCTTAATAGAACCTGGAATCAGGAAATAGTGTTCTAATGAGACAGATGTGAAAGAAAAGTAGTAAAAAGGTATGGGCTTCTGAAGGAGACGAGGACAAAGGAACATTGGAGCTAGAAAAGCATGGGTACATTTTGAAACTGGTAACTTTGGAGAGTGATTATTGATTAAAAATTTTCACAGTCTAAAATAAAAGCCGAGATAAGCCAATTTGCAGACTCAAGGTTACAGATGCTAGATTTAAAGGAAGAATACGATTATTAAAAAAACCCAAAAATTTGAACCTTCTTCTAGAATAACCAAAGATGAAACAGCCTGATTCTTACAAGTCAACTGATTGTCCAAATCAATTCAGTGGCATGAGAAAGTCCCTGGGTCTCTAGACTGAGTGTGCCATTGATTAAATATGTGCGATTATCTTCAGACATTCTTGTTATTGTATTCTTGTGTTCGAAGTTTAAGGAAACTGTGAATCCCCCTAGCGATTTTAAGTGATATTATCTTTTTCTCACAGTTGGCAGCTGCAAGTGGATATATTAAAATAAAAACATGAAGGCTGAGTCTGAATTGTGTGTTGTTGTAAACTACTCAGGAGGCTGAAGTGGAGGATTCACTTGAGCCAGTTTTTAAGACCAAGCCTGGGCAAGTATAGTGACACCCCATTTCAAAACACACACACACACACACACACACACACGTATTTTCATCAAAACTGTGGAGTTACAGAGCAAGCCTTTTCATTATTCCCCAATGATGTAAAAATTATTATCTTCTATAAATCAACTATCATTGTTTTATGGAAAAGATACAACTACAGTCATACAAGTATATTCAAATACTCATTGTGAAGTAAATTCTCTAATAGTTGCTTTTGTCCTGCACATGTGAGAATAAGGATCTTCCTCTAGTGTGTGAAAAGCAGGTTTTACTCAGAGCCACAGAGGTTGCCACCAACCTGCTCACTAAACCTCTGTGAATTTCTACACATATCACATCTATTCACTTGTTGCATTTTTATTGCCTTGGGCTCAATGTTCACACTCCAGAAAATAACTGATCTGATTAGGATGTTTTCATGAACCTTCTGATAAATATGATTTCATTATTTAAAAGATGTACCTGTTTGAAAATGTCATTACAGTTGCATTTGGTATATTCAAACAAATTCAGGAGATACAGTTTGGCTGGGACCATGCAGAGTCAGGGTTACAGACCAGCTAATATGTGTATAGTGAACCCATCTCATGAAGAATCTTAAGAATATTAAGCCAGACAGTGTGATTATCATGTCTTGCCCAGCTCATCAGAAGGGCATGAAGTAAGACTAACAAACTCAGAAATGGGTTTACAGTGACCTGAGATTAGACCTCTGCCACTCAGCAAGGCATTAAACAAACTCAAAAAAATTGATTCTGTGTTGAAATGTTTTGGAAGCTGTTCAGGCCAGTGCCTATCCTGTAATCATCCCCAGCATTTGGGGAAATGATGAGAGGATCATGAGCCCAGAGTTGAGATAACCTTCAACATGGTGATTCTCATCTAAGCAAAAATTGTTGGAGCCTGGTGAAAAGCATTTGTTGTGCAAGTCCCAGCTATTCAGAGGCTGAGCAGGAAGATTACTGAGCTAGTTACTTTTGTAAAAAAAACAGTTTAAAGAAAATATGATTAAATAGAATAATGTATTTAATTCACTTTCAAGTTTTTGTGAGATCTCTATCTATTCATGGACCAGAGTATTAAGTGGTGCACCAGCCAACTCATTCCTTAAACTCAAAGTGAATGCTCTCATCAGCCTCCCAGATGTGGACTACATTTATACAATCACCCCACCAAACTAATTCTTTTATTTAGTGGGTTTCACTATGTTTGCATCAGGTTTGTCTAAATCTCCGGGCCTCAAGCAATCGTCTTGCCATTTCGAAATGCTGGAATTACAGCATGACCACATGCAACCATGCTCAAGCCTCTTATCATGTTGGTAAATTTAGATTCATGATATGGTGTCAGGAATCACCACCTTCAGACAGGCTGGCCGGCGACATCGATGAAACCTACATCTACTAAACCTACCGTTAAGCTGACATGTGGATTTTCCTTTAAGCTCCCAACATTGAAACAGGTGGTGGATCACCTGGGTCCAGAGATCAGACCAGCCAGCCAACATGGCCAAACGCCACATCTCTACCTAAAACACCAGTATAGATGACCTCTCAATCCACCTCCATGGGAGCTGAGGCCAGAGATCTACCCAAGGCCCAGGCCGGACAGTGAGGCCAGATCTGCCCTCCAGCCTGAACAGGCTGAAGTGGACCTCAGTGCAAAAAAAGTGCATGTGTGCATCAGCTCATTTCTGGCGTGTGCTGGCGCGCATTCACTGGCACCTACACTTCTGGTTCTGGGAAGAAGCCACAATACCTAAACTATCACGATCTGATGGATTAAACACCGATGCATTGAGAATGGTAATGCCATATACCATAAAGTAGAAAATGTCTCTGTTCAGATGAAATAGTTGAGAGAAAATCTGTGAAATTTCAAACCTCAGGCAGAACACCGTATTATTAAGGTGTCATGGGATGAGTGAGGCAGGCCCTTTGTGCTAAAAAAAAGTAGGAAGGCAGTTAAAAGCAGTTAGTTATTACCCAAAAGGAGGTGGAAAATGTAAACTGGCAGGAAATCTGACATGTCATATAGCTTAGTTTGGAAAGAGTATGTGTGAGAACTGGTGTTTTAGAGCTGAAAGAAAGATTCTTTAGCTATTTAGCGCACATTTATATACTCCAGTATGCAGGGTGATTTGTACCCCAATAAGCACACTGCTCCTTTGAAGCCACATGACTCCATTGAGATAAGAAAAAGGACATTTGGTTTTATATTTTTATAAGTGTAGTTTCATAGCAATTAGGATAAATGTAATATAGAAAGGATGTTTTCCAGGTTTAGTTCAATCCTTGCCCAAGGCATTTGTATAAACAGATTTGTGATGTCTCAGTTCTTTCCAGTCAGACTGTCTGGATGGAACACAGGAATATGAGTTGTTAACAAGCTTCCCAGATGACTTATACTGTAAGAGAGTTTGAGAAGTACTCAAGTTCTGTATAGTGGCCCTGTTTATATACAGTATCAAAGGGAAGAAAGCACCAAATATCCTATATATTGTTCAAATCCCCTTAAAACATTACTTGGAATAAGTTCATTGATTATGAGCCCTTCCTTTAACACCTAGATTATAGACTTGATTGGGAACAGGATGACTATTTAGAAGTTGTTTGTATTTTTTTTTAATTTTTATTTTTTTGAGATGGAGTCTCTGTCTCCCAGGCTGGAGTACAGTGGCACGATCCGGCTCACTGCAACCCCTGCCTCCTGGATTCAAGTGATTCTTGTGCGTCAGCCTCCGGGTAGCTCCTGGGACTACAGGGCATGCCTGTGCCTGGCTAATTTTTTTGTATGTTTAGTAGAGACAAGGTTTCATCATGTTGGCTATGCTTGTCTTGAACTCCTGAGCTCAGGTGATCTGCCTGCCTCCGCCTCCCAAAGTGCTGGGATTACAGGCGTGAGCCACACACCCAGCCTGTTTTGTATTATGTTTAACATGGAATGTGTGGTTCAAGTTCTGCCAGTTGGAACAAAATAATGCTGGCATATTGGGAGAAGCAGACACAGGAAGAACCTTGAGTTCAGTCTTTGGTTTGCTTCCTCACTTCAGGCCTGTGTCTTTGTTGAGCCATTGACCTACCTGAAGCTACAGGTCTTAGATGTGATCTTTCTGTCTCTTCCCCCTTCTTATCTTTCTCCCTTCCCTTCCTCTTCCTTCCATTTTACTTCTCTTCCTCCATCTTCCTTTCCTCCTTTATATCTCTCTCCTCATTTCACCTTCCTGAGACCCCTTAGCACTTGCCTTCCCTGCCCAACTTCCCAGTTCATGCCACCCTTTTTGATTCACCAGCATCTTTCTACGGTTGGGGAGAGCTTCTTCAGGTGGTAGGTTTAAAAAACTAAATAGTAGAGGCCAGGCTCAGTGGCTCAAGCATATAATCCCCTAGCACTTTGGGAGGCCGGGGTGGGCAGATCTGCCTGAGGTCAGGGTTGAGCTCCAGCCTGACCAACATGGAGAAACCCTGTCTCTACTAAAAATACAAAAAATTCATGGTAGTAGGCTGGTATGCCTGGCCCAACTACTTGAGGCTGAGACAGGAGAATCACTTGAACCTGGGGAGGCAGAGGTTGCAGTAAGGCTGGATGCGCCATTGCAGTCCAGCCTGGGCAATGAGAGTGAAACTCCATCTCAAAAAAATAATAATAATAATAATAGTAAGTACTATGCCGGGCAGGTGGCTCACGCCTGTAATCTCAGCACTTTGGGAGGCAGATCACTTGAGGTCAAGAGTTCAAGACCAGCCTGGCCAACATGTAGTGAAACCCATCTCTATTAAAATACAAAAAAAAAAAAATTTGCCAGATGTGGCAGGCACCTGTAATCCCAGCTACAGGAAGGCTGGGGCAGGAGAATCGGCTTGAACTCAGGAGGCAGAGTGTATTGTGGTGAATCGCGCCACTCTGGCCTGGGCAGCGGACCAAGACTTCATCTCAAAAAACAAGCAAGCAAGCAAGCAAGCAAACAAACAAACGAAAACTAAACTAATGATACCTACAAAGGCTTAGCGTCTGTACTGCTAAATTATGTCAGGCTTTCTATAGGTTTTGCACAGAGATAACAGACTTTTACCTGGATCATTAACTATTAAATAGCATAGTCTCCCAATAATTTTTTTAGAGGATTGTGTTTAAAAAATACAAATTGTAGCTTAGATCTCATTCCAGGCTCGCTGCCTGTAATCCCAGAACCCGGAGGCCGGCGCTGGATCACTTAAGTCAAGGGTGAGACCAACCTGACCCAGCATGAAACCGTGGCTCTACTAAAATTACAAAAATTAGCGGTGTGAGTGTTGGGTGCCTGTAATCCCAGCTACTCTGGAGGCTGAGGCAGGAGAATCGCTTGCACCTGGGAGGCGGAGGTTGCAGTGAGCAGAGAGCACAATTTTTTTTTTTTTTTTTTTTTTTTTTTTTTGAGACACAGAGTCTCGCTCTGTCGCCCAGGCTGGAGTGCAGTGGCACAGTCTCA